TACCATGATAAGAGGAGGAAGGACCTTGAGTTTCAAGAAGGCGACCATGTCTTTTTGAGAGTTACACCGGTTACGGGAGTGGATCGTGCCTTGAAGTCGAAAAAGTTGACTTCTCGTTTTATTGGTCTGTATCAGATTATTGCACGTGTGGGTGTTGTGGCGTATCGTGTGGCGTTGCCTTCGAACCTTTCGAATTTGCATGATGTGTTCCATGTTTCGCAACTTCGGAAGTATGTTCCAGATCCGTCACATGTTATTCCTATGGACGAGGTTGAAGTAAGAGATAACCTTACGGTTGAGGTTTTACCGATTAGTATTTTGGATCGTGAAGTTAAGAAGCTAAGGGGCAAGGATATTGCACTTGTGAAAGTAGCCTAGGGAGGTGCTGCAGAGGGCAATATGACTTGGGAATTGGAGAGCAAGATGCGAGAGTCGCATCCAGAGTTGTTTGAATCAGGTAATATTTTCGAGGACGAAAATTTCTAAAGTGGGGGAGAGTTGTAACGCCCCAAATTTTGAATTTCCCATTTTTGTTGAGTCCTTTTTAATTCATTTGGATAATTGGTATTTTAATTGTGAAATTTATGTGTTGATATGTTTAATTTCAATATTGTGCTATTTTACCGATTCGGAGAGTTTTCGGGGAAAATAGAGTAAAGGGTATTTTAGACATTTTGTATTAAGTGTTAAGTGGATTGTTGTGTGAGAATTAGTTGGTAAGTGTTTGGAAAGAAATGGAGAGGAAAGAAAATAGAACATGAGATAAGAGAGAAAAGGGAATAGATAGAAACATTAGTGGAAAAACAAGGGAAAGAAAGAAGAGAGAAGAGAAAGAGGAGAAAGAAGAGGAAAACCTAGGATTTCATCAAGGATCAACATCCAAGCTTTCAATCAATCGGGTAAGGGTGTGAAACTCTATTATACTGTTAACGTGTATGATTATGTATGTTGTTGATCGTTTGATGTTGGATTGAGAAGAGTTTCTACTCATTTCCATCTTAGGGCAATATTAGGATTTAATCGGTAGAATGTGATTTTAACCGGTTAGAATCGAGAAATGGATGGAGTAGGATAATCGGGTGTTATTGGGTTGGACTTAATGGGGTAGTTTGGTGTTAGAATTGGTTGGTTTTGTGAGGTTTGGGCTTTGGACAGCCATGGAAGTTCTGAGTTCGCAGGCTCGCCAGGCGAACGGCAGCGAAGCTTCCCCAGGCGAAGCCCAGCGAGCAGCAGCGAACTAAGTCAGAAGCATCCACCCTGTCTTCGTTGGCAAGTTCGCCAGGCGAATGAGAGTGGTGAAGGTTCGCCAGGCGAGTGTGTTGGCGAGTGCTAGCGAGTAATTCCAAAATAACTCCCAGTGGTCTTCGCTGGCAAGTTCGCCCGGCGAACTAAGTAGCGAAGGTTGGCGAATGCGACAACATTTTCCTATTTTCTGTGTTTTTCCCTTTTCATGCGGATTTCTTTGTTCAGTTATGTTTAATCCTTATCGAATTGAATAGTTTTGTGTGTCCTGTGGTATGTTATGTACGGGTAGTCGCAAGGCGTGAATCCTAGAATGCAGAATTTTGATTGTGAAAATATATGCCTTATATGGAATGGTATGTGTTGAAATGAAAAGTATGTATATTTTATGGAGTATAAGTATATTGTGAATGTGCATAGATTGTATGTGCTTGTATGAGATGAATATGCATAGTGATATATTTGCGAATATATATGCATGTAGAGTAATGTTGTGAGTCATTTTGCATAAAGGCATCATGATGTACATCCTAGCGATGTTGATTCCTTGGAGAATCTGCTGAACATTTGATTCCTCGGAGAATCTGCAGAGTATTTGATTCCTTGGAGAATCTGCTGAATATTCGATTCCTCGGAGAATCTGATGAATATTTGATTCCTTGGAGAATCTGCTGAATACTTGATTCCTTGGAGAATCTGCTGAATTGAGTCGGTACCGCATTTGCATCTGCATAGAGTCGTGAGTCGGTCTCTATGAGTTGTATTGGTCATCTTTATATGATGCATGGAGTGAATTGAACATAATTCTAGATGTTTATGTGGAAGATGATGAGTATGTATAGACACATGATTTGATGAATATGCTTGATTGTGTGAATATGCATCGTGATGAGTTGTGGTGAAAATATGAATTATGTTAATCCCATGTATGTATATAGATATATAAATATATATATTGACTGTTATGATATTGTTTCTCACACTTCTGCTATTTCATAATGCTCTATGAGACATTGCAGAGTAGGATTGCTGGAGGTCCTTTTTGTGAAGCAGGTCTTCATTATTTTTGGTCGATGGTTCTGATATGTAACATCTGGGTAGTTAGGAAGCCTTTGGTTCTTTTTGGAGATACTTTTGCTTTGATTTCTTTTATGATACATATGCGTATGTATCTGATAATGGATGTTCGTACATATGAATTAACTGAATGATGTATATATGTTTATATGAATGTATTGATTCAATGTTTAGATGTTTCCGCTTTATTCTAAATATTGAGATGTGAGTTTTAGAACTATGTTCTTCAGTTGTGAATTACCCATTGTTGCATATCTATTTGAGCAGGTGTTGTAGGTGTTTAACTTCATGATAATGTGATACACCTCTTTTATATCATGTATTAATTAAACTCTGATGAAACTTTTATCAAGTGCTTAAATTATTTAATTGTTTATTTGAGGGTATAGAAAGGGGGTGTTACAATGTCAGTGGTATAGGGCATCTCGGTTTCATATAAATTTAAACAAAATGAAATGATTTAGAAATCCACCCAATACACATAACTTGATCAGTTGGATTTTGAGGTGAGGCACTTCGAAGTGGAAAAAATGTTTCTAAAAAACCATATATTGTCATATCACTCATTTATGCACTTGCTATAAGATGATCCATTTCAAAGAATCACACCAATTTTTCCTCTAGTGTCAGACCGCTAACATAAGGAATACGAGATTTATGAATTCCATCAAAATGTTCTTTTTTTCGTATAGATTTGTGTATGATTCTTTATGCTCTTTTAACTCTTTGTGATATAATACCTACAAATTGAAACATATGATATAGGAAACACATTTGTAATAGAACTCATCAATCCGGTACCGCGGTCGATGATGACCTTCTGCATGTTTTCTTTGTCCTTAAACATTGTCCGACACATTTCTAAAGCCCGAGTAACGTTGTTCTCTTTTTTTGCTTTCCCAAAATGCAAACCCATCGGAAAAATTCATTTCTGTAGAAGTAACACAAACAATTTCCAATAGTGGAAACATGTACTTGTTGATCTTATATATTGAATAATAATGAGTATATTGAGAAATGTGTTAAGCAACTTTATTGAATCAGGATGATTAAAAAATATATCTCGAACGGTTTCTTCATTCTCGCACACTCGGCACCTAGATACATAATCATTATCATCCAGAAGCTTCAACAATTGTTGGATTTCAATTATATCGCCTTGTTGTTTTGGGCACAAATATTGTATACATACTTGATATATGATATATTTTTTTAGGTTTTTTCTATTTCAAAGTTACAAGTATGTTTTTCGGCCACACCATGTTCAACGTCATGTCAGAAACAATTTCCTTCTCTTCGACCATAATTCGACATGCAATGGGATGTCCGACTAACTTGTAACACATGTCATGATTATGTGCACCATAAATCACATTAAATATCCATTTATTATTTTTCGAAAAGTATCCACATAACTTTAAATGTCACTCATATTTCCTGAAACCGGTGTCACCACGTTTCAATTATCGGATAAGAATTGTGTACTTGTCACTTCTTTCGCATCCTAGTGTCACAAATGCAAGTCTTCTATCTGAACCGTTATTTGGCATTCCAATTACAACTAAACCCTAATTTACCAGCCTTTGTACAAATCCATTAGAGCATAAGATCACAAACAACACACTCTTGTTCATTTGCAAATTGGTTCGGTTTGACATTCGTAGACACAATAGATTTGAGGAAAATGTCATGATGCACCATATATAAAGCCAAACATATTAGAAAGTATTCAAAAACGGTCTAAATTCAACTCTGAATGGATCTGGAAATGCACTTCCTGATGACATTCAACTAGAATCCATAAATGCATTTTTGGATACAACTTTTGTTTTTTCAAAGCAAAAACTAGATTAAAGTAAGGAATGAGGAAGGAAATACATGCACATTACCTTAAATTCCATCTTATGTTGCTCCTTTCGATGTGAAAAAACAAAAAATGATATTTCGAAGTAAAAAAATCAATTGAGTGTGGAAGAAGGTTTTGATAGGGTTTGAACAAAAATGGTGTTTTTGATCATGAGTGACTCAAACGTGCAAGATGATGTTTTATTAAATTTTATGCTCAACGAATCCAGAAACGCATTTCTGAAATTGTTATTAACATGTAAAATGTGATATTTTTTTCAAATTCCCTCTTGACAAATTTGGGAGTACACTTCCGTATTTATAATGGACAAAATCATTAAAGAGGTGTTTTTAGATATGCACATGCAAACTAATTTTTTTGGGAAAAATAGAGGTGTGTCTCAATAAAGATGTATTTCAGTGTGATTTGGATGCGTTCAAAAATAAATTTCAAATTCGTATGAGTATTTTTGAATTTTTATAAAATATTTCTCCACCTCTTTTATATATATATTAGTTTGATTAATAATCACACTTTAAGAAGGGAAACCAAGTAGTAAAGACATGGACACGAGGAGAGCAATTATTATGGTTCTTGTAGAATGTACAAAATAATAATACAATTATATAAACATTTAAAGAATAGTGGAAGGTGGGTGAAGCAAGGAAAAGCACTTTCGGCCGCCGGTGGATGCCGATGCAGATGCTTCATCCATCCACTATCACATAAAACTATTTCTTCTTCTTCTTCCTCCAAAATTCACCACATAAAACTCTCTTCCTCACTCTGCTACCATTTCTTCACACCAACAACCTAGTCCACAACAATAATAATAATGTTGTTTAAATTTGTAGCAGGTCCTAGGAAGAAAAAACCAGGAACCGTTCCTGTCTACCTAAACGTCTATGACCTCACACCTATTAACGGTTATGCTTATTGGTTTGGACTTGGAATCTACCATTCAGGTGTTCAAGGTAAATAAATTCACCAACTTCATTTTTTATTTTATTATTATTAATTATTAATTATTAATTAACCATACTAATTTATTTATTTATTTATTTTTTTTGCGTTTTTTTATAGTTCATGATGTTGAATATGGTTTCGGGGCACATGAAAATGACACAACAGGTATTTTTGAAGTGCAACCGAAAAACTGTCCTGGTTTCACTTTCAGAAAATCTATATTCATTGGAACAACGGATCTGGGTAGTAAAGATGTTGGTGTTTTCATGGAGAAACTAGCTCGAGAATATTCTGGAAATTCTTATCATCTTATTTCCAAGAATTGTAACCATTTTTGTGATGATGTTTGTTACAAATTAACCGGGAAATCGATTCCGAGATGGGTTAATCGACTTGCCAGACTTGGTAAGTAATATGAACTTTACTAGCTTGGTTCAAGAATAACATGTTTTTTCTCATTGCATTTTAATATAACTTTGCTATGTATTTTAGTTTGAAATTTGTTGGATGTAAACCCTTGTGTTCATGTGTAGTTGATGGATTGTAGACCAAAACTAGTAGTAAGTCATAAGCATTGAGAACCATGCTTATCTACGGAATAGAAATGGTTTGGTTAGGAATTAGAAATGAAAGATGAGGTGGTGTTAGGAACTAGAAATGAAAGATGAGGTTGTGAAGTTGAGTCTCACTGCGGTGGAGCGAAACTTTCAATGCGACAGAGTGGACGGATTTATAAAGTTAACACTTCAACGTCTAAGTCAGTGAGAGAAATGAGGAGTAATACATGAGTGAGAATGAATTTGAATATTTAAAATGACGCGTTTTACCCTCATATATCAAGAACGCTAGAAACTATTCACGAGTGATGCGGCGTGCTCTATGAATAGTCGTCTCCGTCTGAGTCTGATATCAGACAGTGATTCATGCATTGAAGGGCAGAATTGTCTGCTCCTGGCCAAGCGAAAATCTACCTGTTTTGCACGCCTTTTAACTCGAGGTTCGCTGTTGAATTTTTTGCCAAGGACCTTGCGAACGACCCGAAACAAAATCATGTTTGAAAAAAACTTGTTTAAGCTTATTATATAAGCGCTTATGTATAAGCTATTTCTATAACAAAATTTAGCTATTGAAACACATTATAATCAAGATTATACAGAAATAACAGGCAAACGGGTAACAAGCTGTGCTGTTACTCCTTTTTGGATGACAAAACCAATCCTCTTAAACGTCACGTTCATTGTTCTAGGTGACACAACATTGTTATGTATGAGTCTTTGCACTCTCTGGAAAAGATATACTGCTTCTGATACTCCTTTTGCTTATACTATTGTTTTCTAATCCCAACTTATTCTGTACTTGTTATGTGATTGGTATTCCTATGTTACACCTTATAAATAAGTCAAAAAAACTAGGAAGCATTTCATGATTCTAAATTTCCAACTGTAAGATATTCATTCTCCTTGATTTATATGAAGGTTTATTTTGCAACTGTGTTCTTCCACCCGGCTTAAACGAAACAAAGGTTCGACAAGTTACATCCGACAAGGTACAAGAAGGTGAAAAACGGAAAATCAGAAGTCAATCCAGCAGATACGAGGCTTCGTCCAACCCTCGCGGTTCATCAAGACATTGCCTTCGTCCATCGTCTTTGATGAAAGCTTCTTCAACAACGACATTGACAGTAAAGTAAAGGTTTGAGAATTGTGTAAGCAACCTAAGATGACAGACACAGTGCAGAAGGTTGTTTATTTGCTCCATCTTTCTGTTCTGGTGTATATGTTTCATAGTTTTGCAAGGGATACTAAGGAATGGTTGCGTTGTGTTTTATCCAAATTTGTTTTTTTTTATTCTCTAATTTTTTGGGTGTGTTTTTGTTCAATCTTGATTGAATTTCTTTTAGTTGATGTAGCAAATAGTAATGTGTTTGTTGTGCAGAATAGTGTTTTTTTTTAGTCTAAATTTGTGCTTAAGATACTGAAAAAGTTGTGAGTTGTGCAACTTTTTTTTGTCAAAAATGTGCAACTCTTTTTTTAATGAACAAATCGAGCCTTAGCATAATTTTGTTGAACCTTGCTAGTTGAATCTGACTAGTTAGTGTATAATTTTGAGGAATGTATATGATTTAGTTGCTCATATTAGAACTCTAACTATTTAGGACGTTAAGAGTAGTGTATTAGTCATGGGATATATATAGGCATGCTTAAGAGAAAAAAAATCAATTTTATGTGCCTATAATAAATTAAGAGGACAAGTAAAAAAGAAAAGAAATTAAATAATTTGGGATTTACCCTTTGTAAACTAGAAAAGTTAGATAAGAAATGGAGTGGGCATTATTGGAGACAAAAAGTGGAAGAATGTATAATCTTATGAATATCAGGTTGGGTCAGCAGAACACCTTTAAGTAAAATTTTGGGAGGATTTAGAAGACTTACTATAAGAAATATCTCAAGGAGAACAACTTTTTTAACGAGGGGATCTAAATGGACATGTAAGAAGCAAAGCAAAAGGTTTTTGAAAATGTGAAAGAGGGGTGTGGTATAAGGGAGGTGAAAGCTGAGGATAAATTCATCTTGGAGCTTTTGCCGGCTTTGGATATTACTATAGATAATATTCTGGTTTAGAAAAAGAGATGATCATCTTATCACATATAAAAGTGTTGTGACATGTTCTAAGATAGATTTCTTTCTTATTAGGAAGTCAGATAGGAAGATTTGTTTGGACTTTAAAGTTGTTTCATAAAAGAGTTTGACCATCCAACATAGAGGATTGGTTAGAGATGTAAGAATCAAGGGGATAGCAAAGAAAAGAAGCCACATGGGAGCGTCACAGATCAAGTGGTGCTATTTGAAGGATGAAAAACAAGGAAGTTTTCAACACAAGATCTTATAGGGATGGTTTTGACAACCATAAGAAAGTATAAATGATATGTGGAATAAGATGACTCAAGAGATTAGAAAAATGGCTAAAGAGACGTTAGGAGATTCAAGAGGTTTTGCACATAGGGTAAAGAATCGTGGTGATGGAATGAAATTGTTTAGAGTAAAATTAGAGTAACAAAAGATTGTTGTAAAGAATGGACTAGGTGTAAAAATGCCGAAACTTGAGAAAAATATAGGAAAGATAAGAATGACACCAAGAAGGCGGCGAGTGAAGCAAGAACCCAAGTTTTTGACAGATTATATCAATCTTGAAGAAACAAGGAGGGAGAAAAATCTATATAAAGGTTTGCTAAGGGAACCGAAAGAAAGACAAGAGATTTTGGACATAGGGGTACGGAATCGTGGTGGTAGAATGAAATTATTTAGATTAAATTAAGATTTAAAAAAGATTTTTTTAAAGAATGTTCTAGGTGTGAAAGTGCCGAAACTTGGGAAAAATATAAAAAAGCTAATAATGGGACCAAGAAGGCGGTGAGTGAAGCAAGAATCCAAAATTTTGACGGATTATACCAATATTTAGGAACCAAGGAGGGAGAAAAATCTATATAAAGGATTGTTAAGGGACTTGAAAGAAAGACAAGAGATTTAGATCAAGTGAAAATGTGTTAAAGATGAAGAAGACAAAGTCTTGGTTAAGGAAAAAATATAAAGGATTGGTGGAAGATGTATTTCTAAAATTTATTTCATGAAGGATATGATATTTTATCGGACTCTAGCAAACTCGATATTGAAAATCAAAACTATTATTACTACCGTCAGATTCAGAAACAAGAGGTAAAGGAAACATCGAAAAGGAAGAGTAATAGTAAGACAGTTGGGGTAGACAACATACCTATTAAAGTGTGGAAAATTCTTGGAGATAGAGGTATTAGGTGACTCACCAAACTCTTTAATGAAATTATGAGGTTAAAGAAAATGATTGATGAATGGAGAAGAAACATTTTAGTTACAATTTATAAGAACGACATGGATATACAAAATTGTGCAAATTATAGAAGGATTAAACCTATGAGTCATACCATGAGGTTATGAGAAAGAATGACTGAACGGAGACTAAGAAAATATACTCAAGTCACTGAGAATCAATTTGGTCTTATGCCTGGAAGACTAACCATGTAAGTGATCTATCTACTATGACGTGTGATGGAGTAGTATCGGATGAATCAACAAGACTTACAGTTAATTTTTATTGACTTTGATTAGGCATATGGTATAATACCTAGAGATGTTTTGTAGAATGTCATGGAGAAGAAAGGGGTTAAGAATGCATATATTTGAACTATCCAAGATATGTATGAAAGGGTATCGACTAGTTCGCAAACACATGGTGGATACACAATTGATTTCTTATCACAATAGGTTTGCATCAAGGTTCAACTTTAAGTTCTTACCTTTTTATTTTAATTTTAGATGTACTCACAGAACACGTCCAAGAGCTAGAACTGAGATGCATGATTTTTGCATATGATATATTCATAATTGGAGAGTTGAGGGGGAATTTAAATGGAAGGTTAAAGACTTGGAGACAAGCTTCAAATACAAATGGTTTTCCTTAAGCGGAAGTAAGATAAAATATATTGAATGTAAGTTTAACAAAATAAGACACTTTTATAACTTAGAGGTGAAAGTTGGAGATCATATCATCTCTAAAATCACACGGTTTAAATATCTAGGATCCGTAATATAAAATGACGGAGAAATAGAAAGGGATATAGACCATTGGATTCAAGCTAGGTGGTTGAAATGGAGGAGGGTTTCTGAGGTTTTATGTGACGCAAATATATCACTCAAGCTGAAGGAAATTTTTTATCGGGCTGTGATATGACATGTGATTTTCTACGAGATAAAATGTTGAACGGTTAAAAATGAACACGAGAATAAAATAAGTGTAACAAAAATGAGGATGTTGTGTTGTATATGTGGTAAAACTAGACAATACATAAATTTTGTGGTAAAAAGAATAGTCAAGTAAAAAAATCAAATAATTAAAGAAAAATAAAGACCTAGAAAGCTTATAAAAATTATTTAAAAAATCTCGAAATTAGCTATTTAAATAGTAATATAATTAGTTAATTCATAATTTCATATAAGTGACACTATTTAATTGGATAAAAAATGGTTGTTGTTGTTGTAAATACACTCATCTAAGAATATGCACCTTTTGATTATTTATGCGGTACAGGCTCCTCATTTTTTTTTTAAGATATGATTTTTTAAAAGTACTTTTAGGAAAGGGGAAAGTAGTGTCCATATAAAATTCAGCAGGTTTGGATAATAGCTGCATTGAATGAAACTCCATTAGAGTCCACACATGTTTATAAAAAATACAAAATCATAGTCAATTTCAAATAGATTTGATGAGAAAATTTGAGAATGTTTAAGGAGAGCAACACAAACTAATTTGTATATTTCCAATTGCCTACTATTTATTTTATATTATTATGTATTTCGTGCGTTACATATTCTCTGTCTTATATTATTATGTATTTTTTTTTTACATTATCGTGGTTATGTGGTTTATATTATTAATTTTTGTTTCATTTCACATTTCTCTTAATTATATATATATATTTTAATATTATATATGTTCATCAAATGTTCAATCTATTTCAAATTCATTCTATCCAAGGATATAAAACAGTTTATATGCTAAGAATAAAGTATAATATCTAATATTCATTTTTATTATATCCATCTTAAATGTCGAACTGACTATGGTATTGGAATGCTAATCATATTGGTTCACTTCATGCCACCGTAAAGGAGATCGGAGCCACTTTTCAAGATCATCAATTATTCAATTGTCCTTATTTATGGTTCTTTCGTGGAGCTAGAGCATCAATTTCTAGTTCTCAAATGGAACAGTTGTGTCGTATGTGAAAAACGACTTCTGATTCTTACGATTCCCACGATTTCAAATCTAATATATTGATTGACCATTTCGTAACCTCTTTAGGTCACCGAATCAAGAGCTAATCGACCTACAATTTACACATGTGAATTCACAATTGTTTTCCAACTTTAGTGTTCCGCGAGATCTCATAATCAAGAAGCACTCAAAAACGAACACGAAAACTTGTCGCATTTGATTCGATCAATCATCATTTCCTCTCCAATTCACTAAAACCTAAATCCCTGATCCTTTCGGAAACTTGGCAGAATAATAAAAGGGGGAATCTCAGATCCAGATATAGGGTTGCATTGAGGTCTGAAGATGATTTCCATGAAGATCGGACAGAAGAATCACAATTCACCTTCTGGCCTAACGCAATCTTTGTGTTTCCCTCTTGTCGAAGCACCTATCAAGGTTGCTTCTTAAAGATACTACAAATTCGTTGTTAATGGTGTTCAGATACTACAAGTTCATTGTTAACGCTAGACGCAAATCTAATACTAGGGCACATCATGGGGTACCTCTCCAGAATAAGAAAGAAGCTGGAAGGTCTCCACCCTGGTAATCAAGAAACGCTCTACTGAAGTATTGGACAAAACAATTCAACGAACATCCTAAAGTTATGTCCCAAGTGAAGTCGACCACCCAGTGATGCACCGACGGAAAAAAACAAAGCCAGACACCTTAACACCTCGTCCAACAAATGAAGATACTCGGAAGCGCGAAACACCCCAATCCAAAATCCCAACAAAGGATAGCGGTCAGAACTTCAGATACTATCCATCCATGTCAGAGTTAACAATGGAGATTATCTACCCTATCGTTTCATTATATATATATATATATATATATATATAT